TCGGGGAGAGCGGGGTGAGTTGAGCCAGTTTCATTTATGGCGTGTTTAAAGCAAGCACATGACAGTAATGGGTCCAACTTGAACATTTGAACATTTGAACACTTGAACATTTTCACCTCGTACTATATCAAAGGAAGAGAAATTCAATAAAAATGACTTCTTAAAATCTATGTGTGAGCCTTGTGATGGAAGGGCATTCATCCAGGGAGTTTCCCTACCTGTGGCTCAAGACGCTGGGTTAGGATCCAGCTCCCTGCTACCCTAATAAGGACAAAAAGTTCTGGATAGTAGAATGGATGGATGTAATTGACCTTACAGAACTGGGCTAATAGTACTCAACATCCAAAATAAATGTTGCAGGCAAATACAATTTCATAAAAAACTTCAATGGCCAATTTTTATAAACAAGGCCTATTTAAAATTTTCAGAACAAAAGCAAGTTCAAAACACATAACAAAATAAAAAAAATTTGGTCTAAAATGAATTAAATATAATGTAGAATTACAGTAAAATGATACTTTATAATCATAAGAAGGTGTGAGCCACTGACTCAACTTACCCCAGGACTTTTCGCTCAAATTACCCCACTCCTACCATTTTAACAAACCATATATATATATATATATATATATGGCTTGGTTCAAACCTTAGATTTTGATTTTATATTAAAAAATGTTCCAAATTTTCCCAGAGTAAAACATTCATACAACTTAAAAAAAGATTATTTATTATAAATACTACATACCTAATCTATATTTTATTATTATTACTATTATTACTTTATTTTATTTTTTTTTTACTATAAATACTAAATATAAATGACTATAAAAGCTAAATTATCTATAATATGGAAATAGTCTGTAAAGCTATCCTGTATGTGTTTTGCACATCAAGTGAAAAATATAATTTAAACTTTTTTTTTTTTTTAGACAAACTGAAACAGGTTTAAACCAGACAAATATGTAGAGTTTTATGGAGAGATCTCAACAATGTCTCAAACTGTGCTCAGATTTTCCAAGATGCCAAATTCTGCAATCAAAAGAGCTCAGTATGAACTCAGACATACTCTTTATGTTTGTTAACAATTGCTTCATTTACCTCTATTTTTACTTCTTTTAAATTATATACATTTGACTCATTCATTTTTACCTATTACTTGAAAATCTGAGACAAAGTGATTCTTAAATGAAACATAATTGGGTGAATTCAACAATGATCCTGACTTGGTCACTCAACTAAAAACTCTGGCATCATAAAAAATTAAAGGACTGAATAAAATGCTCAAAGTAATGGTTTGTATTTGGTTGCTTTCTCCAGTTAGTCTCATAATAACATTGAGTCCAAACTGTGGGCCCAGTTTTGTTCTCTGTAGCCATGGTTACAGTGGCTTTGTGGCCGACCCAATCACATGTCAGGTGAAATGCATGTGAAACCGCCGTCCAATGAGAGGGCTTTCATCAGTTGAACGAGATATGCTGCCAAATCTTAACTGGAAACTGCTGCTGCAGTTCTGCAACACTAATTAGACGGCAGCCATGACAATGAGTGGCAGGCCAGGCATTAATATTCAGTCTGATTCACTGATGTCAGACATTGAAATGATTGCATTGAAGGGTGTTAGAGAGGGAATGACAGTGAAAAAGCGGGAGGGATGGAGACAGCAACAGACAGAAAGACGGAGACATGTATTAACACACTTAATTCACATTCTTATACTACGTATATACTTCAAGTATGCATTTAGCTGGTTATAGGAATGTATATACTTTTAAGTACAAAATAATAGTCTACACCAATATTGGGACATGTAACCATGCTATAAAATTATGCCTTGATAACTCACACCCATTTGTTTACAAATTAGCATCTAGCTAATTCCATCAATTAAAAGTCAAGATGAAAAACAAATATTATATTTACTTTCTTAATGCATGTTCCTGGTTTTATTCTATTAAAAGGAAAACAATGTAACTTGCATTGCCTCTGAAATGACATGTTGTCACTGACATCCTCGTTTGTCTCTTTTCCCCAGACAAGTCTAGGCCAGGATTTCTAAGTGTGTTGGGGTTTTGGCTTTGTTTTACTATTGTTTTCATACTTGCTTAAGGTAATGACTAAGAAGTAGTTTGACCAATAGTGTGCAGGCATTGCACATAATCAACCAATCGCGGCGTGTGAGAAAGTGGGATCTACAAAGAATGGTCAAAGCAAAATGAGGACTGTAGAGAGCACATCTGTATGGAAAACAAAGCTAAAACCCAGACAATTTAGAAATCCTGGCCGGCAAAAGAGGACGTATGGTCACCATATTTTAACCTCTCCTCACCAAGAGACACATATTCACCATCCAATCAATGCCTGGATAAAATAAAATCATGTCCTTTATTTTTCCCTTATTGAATATCCAGTTTCATTTGTCAAATTACAGAAGTAAAACGTGTAGTAAATGCCAGTTCAAACTGACTTTTAAAGTTCATTATATTTTCAATTAAAAGCATACATCACAAACCATCACAACTCAAAAATCCCCTTGAAAAATTGAACAGCCTGAGCACTTTTGGCCTACTATTCTACTATAATATAATATGTTACACACTTATTCTAATTCAAACTCACATTTCGGATGGATATTATGGAAATTGAGACAAAGTGAGGGACAAAGTGAACTAGACAGATGCATAAAACCAACTGAAATGGTGAGTATGGAGAAAAAGAGGGGAGTGTGTGCTCTGTTGTTCCCAGCGTGGGTGTGTTTGGCACATGTGGAGTGCAGTGTGTGTTTTCAGTGTGTGCGCAGAGCTCACGCTCCCACCTCGACTTTAAGCATTCCCAGCTGCGGAGAGTGAGAGAGGGAAAGAGAATGGGAAAAAGAAAGCAGTTCTCCAGAGAGGTCATCCTGGAATGGAATCGATGGTACAGACATTCTTCAGGACCCTCTGGAATGACCCTCTTCCTGCTGCGATCCCATTGGCCGAGAGCCGCGTGTGGAATGCACCGTATGCAAAGCTCTCAGCACACACAAAGTAACAATTGTTCACGTCTGCAGAAAAGAGCCATTGCCAGAAAGTACAGTCGTAACTCTCTCCCTCCATCTCTGTCTGTTTCTCACTTCCATTATATTCATCCTCTACTTTCCCTGGATCGTTCTGTTTCCTTCTGTTTTTGTTATGTGTCTCAAGTCTTTCGTCCTCCTTTTCTCTTTCACCACATCCCCTAATAATCCCTCATCCCATGGTCTCTGTTTTATTTCTTTCTTGTTCTGTCTTTCTGACAGCTTAGGGACATGATGTCAGCCGCCGGCGGCGTGTTACGCCCATGAGATCAGCTCAAGAACACCTTCAGATTCCACATTACATAAACACAACAATATCTGACCTTTAATATTTAATCACATCTGTGTTCAATTCATTTCCGGTCCCTTATCCCTTCTTCCAACTCCTCTCCTTATTTTTCTCTCTCATCTCCCCTTGTCTCATAGCTTTTTCTTTTCTTTTCTTTTTTTTTTTTTAGGTCAAAGTTTTTATGACTTATCATCAGGGGTGACATCATAATATTTGATCATAATGTCACCAAGGTCCCACTTAAGGTTTTGAGCCAAATTATCAATTCTTTAAGTTTTTTTTTTCTCTTTTCTTTTTTTTTTTTTTACATGTAAATGCGCTAATTGTTGGAGATTTTAACATTCACGTTGATAATACAAATGATGCATTAGGACTTGCGTTTACTGACCTAATAAACTCTTTTGGAGTCAAGCAAAACCTCACCGGGCCCACTCATGTTTTAATCATATGCTAGATTTAATTATATCGCATGGAATTGATCTTACTGATATAGATATCGTAACTCAAAGTGATGATGTTACTGACCATTTCCTTTTTTGCTTGGTTGGAACAGCAGCTACGCTAATTATGTCTCTGTTTGTTTCTCTGTTTCTGCCACGGAATTGACATCCGTGGTAACTAGGATTTACACAAGCTTCAGTCTGGATCCAGAACACCTGAGAAGAGATGATGCCAACCCCTCAGAGGACCTCAGATGATGCCAACCCAGAAACAACATACAGAACTACCAAATTTTGCTATAAGTTTGATTGCATCATATAATAATTGCTGTTAATAGTGTTCATCGTCTGTTTGATTACGTCTTTAATTGATTTTTTCCGTACATTTCTGCCATATGTACATTAACTGACAGTCACCACTGATAAGCTACCACTAAATATTGTAGAAACTTAATTTGCTGTAAAGTTGCTTTGCAACTATTTGTATCGTGAAAAGCTCTATACAAATAAACTTGAATTGAATTAAATGTAAACACCATTTTGCTTGAGTTCAATGTAGATTTAACATCCCAGGCTCATTTGAAATACTTGTTTGTGGTGACGTTCCTGCAACACCGAAATTCACGTTCTATACGTGTTGGTGGCCATGTTTTTATTCAACTTGGTCTCATAAAAATACGTACCTCTTGGTACTTTTCTGCAACACCGTTTTTACGTACCGTACTGCACGTTTTGCCGCAGTTTCAAAGAGAAATGTCCACTGAGTGGCGCTAAAACACGCGTTCAATATGTGAACCCTGGTACGTTTTTATTAAGTTGATATAGTTACGTATTGCTGTGTTTTTATTACGTTTCTTCAGGTACATTTTGCGACGGTTCAGAATTCAAATATCCATGGACTGTCGCTAAAAGTTAATGCTCTATCGTGTTGGAAATATGGCCTACACCAAACCCAACCCTAAACCTACCCGATAGTGTTAACAAATGCAAAACTGATATAAACTGTTTTGTCGATCCGTAGTTACACAGGATTCGAACTGGAGCTCCTCATCTCTTAAGTACGTCTCCGTACTCCATGAGCTACCGAACAAACCTACCGTCTATGAAAACCCATAGATATGAAGCTGGATATGTGCGATGCTAACGTTCAAAAGCATCAGTTTTCAAATCTTCCAGCATATTAAAATTGTTTTGAAGTCATAACATAATATTCTTCAAGTAACTGTGCGAAAATTACACTTTATTAATCAAACCTCTGTCAATTTGTGTGAAAAGGAATAAAAGGTGTCGGAGTTTTACTGCCTCTAGTGTTCATTTATTTTGGAAACTGCAGTGATATGTACTTACTGGTACGTAATTCGCGTCTCGCGAAAAAAGTGCCCCAGGTATGTTTTTGCCATGAGACCAGGTAGTTTTTATTACATTGCTTCAGATACATATTGTGGTGGTTCAGAATTAAAAGGTTCATGCTTTATCTTGTTGGAAACAAGATAAACCCAACCCTAAACCTACCTGATTGTTACGTATCCGGTCCATGAATTTCCGTCTGCTAGCCATCAGAGGTCACCCTTTCCATTTCATTGACTCTCGCACTACACACTGTTGCATAGCACCCCGGACTACATATCCCATCATTCATTACACTGATTGCACACAGCACTGATTGCACAGCACTGATTGCACACAGCTGTTTCATATCACTCACTCACTATTTAACACTCAATCTCACTCCTTTCAACTGCCGAGTATTGTTTAGCATTTATCATTGTGATAGCTACTTTACGGAGCTTGCTCTAGCTTGCATAGTCTAGTCATCGTCTTACCTTGCCTGTTTCCCTGGTTCCTGATTCTTGCCACGTATCTTGGATTGACCCTTTGCTTGCTGTTTTCGGACTGTGTTTGCTCCTCGCCTGGACTTTTGCTCACATTTACGGATTACCCCTCTTGTCAAGCCCTCTGGATACTGTTCGCCGATCGAAGACCCACGCTAGCCCTAGGATTATTCTTGTGTCTTGCCCGCCATATACCTGTTTGCCATTGTTCGACCCTGCCTATGTTTCTGACCTCTTCTGCTTTCAATAAAAGCTTGCACATGGATCCGCACGTCTCACGTCTTGTCAGCCCCGTAACACTGATAGATGTGACACTAACATTTAAAAGTATCAGTTTTCAAATCTCGCAGCATGTTAAAATTGGTTTGAAGTCATAATGTAATATTGTGCAATTAATTGTGCGAAAATTAGGCTTTCTTAATCAAAACCCTGGCCCTGTAAATCATACTTTGTGAAAAGGAATAAAAGCTGATTTTGAGATTTACTGCCTCTAGTGTTCATTTCAACTGAAAACTGCAGCAATTTGTCTGCATAGGTACCTTTTTTTGAGTTTTGCAAAAATGTAGGTAGAGGCATGTATTTCCAACTGCCCTTTCGTACAATAATAACATCTTTGCAAAGAATCACAAAAAATCAGTGCTGAAATGTGCTGCTCAAACTGTTAAGATCAAATTAATATCCACTCATTTTTTATGTTAGGAGTCTTCAGAAGGATATGCAGAGTGGAAGGTGCTACACACTGCCAAGCAAAGCACAAGATACAGCTGGTCTCAACCTCTGACCGCAAGGCCACAGACTGCCTGAGTCTGTTCACTGACTGTCTAGAATATTGCATATATTGCATGTAAATTGTATACAAGAAAACTAAAATGTCCTGAAAAAGCACTTCTGGAAAAGAAGTAATTACTGGATTTGCCAAAATTTGGGATTCAAGGTCAAATCTTTATTTGAGGCACGTTGTACCATTATTTGCATAAATTAAAATGTTCCATGTTCGTCTACAAACAAACAAACGGTTGGTCACTTTACTTGTTAATCAGACAGTCTCTTCTTCACCAAGTGGGCAGTTCTTGGCCTGAATAAACTGCAATCTTTATGGTGCAAGTTAGAAGTCTGGCTACCTGAGTCTAGGTTTAGTGGACTCTACCACATTTTACTCTAATCTTTAGTTGGTCTGATGTTTAGGGGTAATTCATAGTTTTCAGTCATGTGATTTGTGCACAGACCAAGAGGGCAAAACATCTACAGAACTGCAGAACAAACCTGTCAATTTTCCATCTGTTCAAGCCATGATTATTTAGATTAAAAAAGTCAATAAACTGCAAGTTTTAGGCACTTGTGATCCATATAGAGCACCCACCACAGTATTTTAATGTAATATTTAATCACTAAAAACAGTGGGACATTCTAAAATGTTAAAAAAGCTTTATGTGCCCAAATGCATTAAGACAGTGGTATTAAAAATCAAAATCAACCTTACTGATGATGCATACTATATACAGGCATGCAGATGAACCTAGAATATAAACACAAGATACTAAATTGCATGGGATTTCTACGGGAAAATGCTTAAAGTGAACTGGCGTTCATATTTTGAATTCATCTGCATAGTATGTTTTATATATACTGAATCCATCATGTGTTCTTTTATCCACCTGTTTGACATTGTTGACATTACAACGTTGTAAAAGTTCAGAACGGCTCAGTTTCAATAAACAGATGTTTTGAAGGAAGTATTAAGTTTTGAGTTCTGTAAAACCTGATTCCTCCACGATACTGTATGACACCTTTAAGGTTAGACACTTTCCCTACATCAGAAATCAGCTGTGAAGCATTTGATCTCAATCACTGGAATCAAGTTTGACCTAGCAGGAAGTAAGGTTTACCCCAGCAGGAAGTAGAATGCCTGCTGTTCCTCTCCATACTCAGCTGTTGTAGTGTAGCTATAAGGACAGCACTCTAGCCAAGATAACTGAGTTATCAGGAGGTATTTTTCATGTGAGGTCACCCATCTCAGCCTTAACACACACGCACACGCCGCTCCACACTGGATTTGAGGGAATGAGACCTGAACTCACCTTCCTGGTCACGGCCGGGTCAAGATAACTCTGCAACTTGTGGATGTATGTGTGAGGAGGATTCTTCACCTGGAATCGTTCCTGGAAAAGAGAGATGTGTTCATAATTTTACTGACTTTAGAGTATAAAGTCAGTAATTGTCATATTAGTTCTAGGTGTGTGAGGGATGTGGTGTAGGTTTATCCAATTTGTGGGTCTTTTTTGAGTCACAGATAACAATAAATCTGAATTACAATTAATATTCACATAATGTTGTCCCAATTAACAAAAATGGCTGATCAATTTAATGTTGATAATGTTGATGTTTATTAAGCGTTTCTGATATCCTAGCATTCATTGTGACATTATTAAAACATGTTCTTACTCTTATAGAGTGATATTATTTATGATACGGATTTAGACCGTATCATAGTACTGAGACTGCTCTCAGTACATCATCTTCAATGGAGTGTTAAGGATCATGTGCGACTCTGCATTGTTCACTTCATATATAGGAGTTGAATTGCTAATTTTGCAATGACCAAAGTACTGTAGTGTTATTTGAGACAATTATAAAGTTATGAGAGAGATTGTTCACAGTGCACATACACACATTAAAAGTATGTGAAACACCTCTTCAGAACAAGTTCTGAACACAACTAGGAAACAGTAAACAAAAAAATACAGTTTAACAAATCACACTGATATGTTAAATAATATCAGTCTCTGTGTGATCATAAAATTAATTCAGTGGACCTATTATCACAACTCAATGCATGGCTGCAAAAAAAATAAATAAAATAAAAATAATAATAATATGGCAGTATCCTCTCAGCTATGTTCCTTCTTAGAGAGAAATAATATCTCTGAGGATTTCCAGTCAGGATTTAGACCGTATCATAGTACTGAGACTGCTCTCATCAGAGTTACAAATGACCTGCTCTTATCATCCGATCGTGGGTGTATTTCTCTATTAGTGCTACTGGATCTTAGCGCTGCGTTTGACACTATTGAGTAGACTACAAAATTAGGTTGGCATTAGTGGACTTGCATTGTCATGGTTCAAATCTTGCTTATCTGACCGCCATCAATTTGTAGCAGTGAATGACGACATATCATATCGATCAGAAGTACAGTATGGAGTAACACAAAGCTCAGTACTAGGACCGTTGCTTTTCACACTTTACATGTTACCCTTGGGAGATATCATCAAGAAACTTGGTGTTAGCTTTCACTGTTATGCTCATGATACTCAGCTCTATATTTCTTTGCGGCCCGATGACACATACTAATTCGCACAACTAACGGAATGCATAGTTGACATAAAAAACTGGATGACTAGTAATTTCCTACTGCTATTTTCTGAAAAAAAACCCCAGAGGTTTTAATTATAGGACCAAAAATCTCTGCATGTAATAACCTAAAACACTGTCTAACACTTGATGGCTGCTCTAATTACTTGAATGGTTTAGCTCCTCAGTAATGGAACAAGTTCATATAGCATTATAGTCCTTCACGTCCACTGCGATCTCAAAGCTCTGGCCATTTGATAATACCTAGAATATCAAAATCAACTGCTTGCAGCAGATCCTTTTCCTATTTAGTGCCCAAATCTAGATTAAAGAACCTTTAACCTGGCATACACATAACACACTATCACATTTCTATAATTCAAATTATTTAAAGGATTGTTAGGTTGCATTAATTAGGTCAACTTGAACCGGGAACACTTCCCATAACACCCTATGTACTCGTAATATAGTAAGAAGAATGGTATCTACGCTAATATTAGTCTGTTTCATTCTTATTCCGAGGTCACCGTAGCCACCCAGATCCAGTCTGTATCCAGACCAGATGGTGGATCAGCATCTATAGAAACGACCTCTACAGCCCTGAATGTCAGCGGAGACCATGTCAACTAGAAAAGCCCCAGAGACAGATCCCCTGCGAAGACCTCTTCAACTAAACGGCCATTGGGACAAGACCACGGAAACCAGACAAGTTCTCTTCACTTGTGTTGCAGCCTGGAATTAAACCACGCCATGCTGGTTTCGTCTGGCCAGAGGAGAACTGTCCCCCCGACTGAGCCTGGTTTCTCCCAAGGTTTTTTTCTCCATTTCTGTCACCGATGGAGTTTTGGTTGCTTGCCACTGTTGCCTTTGGCTTGCTTAGTTGGGGACACAATTTCTGGCAATATTAATTGTCGGCTTGATTGCACAGATACTATTGCAAGAGAGCTGAACTGGATGATGACATCACTGAATAATCCATTAACTGACTTTAACTGAAACATTTTTTGTTATTGTCCTCTTGCATTATTGACAAACTATGTTTCTGTTTAACACTGTAAAGCTCCTTTGACACAATCTGTATTCTATAAAGTGCTATATAAATAAAGGTGACTTGACTTGACTATTTTTATGACTTTAGACTACAACTTTATACTAAATTGTGTCTACACTACTAATTAAGGTCCTCCATCTCAGTGTAGTTCATTGGTTGAACATAATTTAATTAGAAGTTGCCCTAAAAGATGGATGCAAACTGCATTATTTATTTATTTATGAGCCAATACATTTGTTTTTTAGAGTTTAAGAACTGGGTTGACAGATTAGGGTTAGGGTAGCACACTGCTCGAAATTCTCCTAAGAGAGATTAGTCAGCATTCAGACTAAACTACTATCAACTGGCCAACAGTGTGAGGACACAGATACTGGCATTCAGTCAAACAAATCAACATGCGTTTGAAATATTTGCTAAATACACGTTGTAAACACCATGATCCAAGCAAATATATTTTTTGCTCATTAACAGTATTTTACATTTTCTACACAGACTTACACAGTTAAAATGCAAAATGTAATTGAGGGCAGGTATATCAACATAAGTCCACAAGTCTGTCCGTGTGTCCATAATCTTGTCAGTTGTGTTTAAAGCCTGGCTCACACTACAGGAGTTTTAAAATCCTAACCGATTATGAAATCTGGTTGCAGCACACACATAAGGAGAATCTTTGCAGATTATCTTCACTCAGATCTTAAACATGCACACACTACAAGATTTGAAAATCGTGGTGCATTACACACTACAAGATATTAAGATTATCGTACCAGAGGGAGCGCCTCACGTGATCTCACGCAGCAGATCGTCATTTCTATTTCAGTGATGTTTACATATGTTAGCTAGCTTGCTAGCAGCTTTCTGCACTCACCCCATACGTTCAAAACTGAGGCGATTTCACCCCAGCGCATCTCCTTCTCCTTACAGTTGTGATACGTTTTTGACACATTATACAGACAGTTGTGTTACTACAAAACTTCAAGAAGCAGTTTAAGCCGTCTCCACTATCCAATGGAGCCGTACAGCAGCTGTTTTGCGGTGGCGCATTGGCTATTGAGAAAGTAGGCTACTGATGTAATCATATAGCCGTCGTCATCCCGATTTAAATCCTAAATATCAAACATGTTTGATATGATTGGGGCGGCCCCAATTTGTGTATGAGCAGATCGGGAGGTGCAAGATTCAATCGGTGAATGCCTCACATTACCAGATAATCAGTGCCGAACGCGGGACCGATCGAGGTGCTCGACAAGATTTTTGCTCCGATTCTCGGGAGGGGAAAATCGGGGCTAAAAATCCTGTAGTGTGAGCCAGGCTTTAGGGCAGTGGTTTTGAGTCTTGTTCCTGGAGCGCCAAAGACAATGTCCATTTTGCATGTCTCTTTAATCAAACACACCTGATTCAGATCATCAGCTCATTAGCAAAGACTACAAACCTTACAAAGGAAGTGCTACAGAATTTAAGTAAAAATTATTATTAATCATTTTTGATTAAGAATGATTATTTTAATGATCATTATTAATAGTTTATGTATAATAAGTATACATACTAATAATTTTAATATATACTAAATCAAATGTGTATTCCATTCTCTCACACATTTGGATGTTTTCCTTGGCAACAGCCAATCAACAGCAGCACATAACAGGAAAGAGGAAGAGACCTAGTTCCATTCAAAACAACACAAGGCCCCTGCACATACACAACATATCAGTCACTGCTATCACTTTGACACTGAACATGTGGCCGGTGTGTGTGTGTGTGTGTGAAAGTAACACAAGAGCAAACCTCTTCTTAGGGTCTGGAGTGTATTGTATGGAACAGAAGGGTAGAAGTATGAGACAACATAGCATTTTTTATACAGTAGTTAGTATAAAAAATGGGCAAGCGTATTTTTCTAAGTTACAAAAGTGCTATACAAAGCACACCTATTATTATTGTTACTGTTTTTAGGGTAACACTAGAATACGGAACACATTCACTATGAACTAAGAGTTTTCCCTCAATAAACTGCTAATTTGCTGCTTATTAATAGTAAGGTAGTTGTTAAGTTTAGGTGTGGGGTAAGAGATCTAAAATATGGTCATGCAGAATAAGGCAACAATATGTGCTTTATAAGTACTAATAAACAGCCAATATGCTAGTAATATGCATGCTAATAAGCAACTAGTTAGTCGTGGGAATTGGTTCTTAAAATAAGTTGTTAGCATTTTTAGTAACTTGATCAACATGGCAGGTCATGTGATCTCAACATACAGAATAACTATCAGCGAGGTCACATGATGGCCAGTACAGTTCACCATTTCTGTCAATATCACTGGTTGGATGGGACAAACACAGTGGAAGATGAATAGAAAACAAACAACAGACAGACGAGTTGTGTTGTCTTCATGAGAACACGATTGAGACAATATGTTATGTCTGCAGGGCCACAAGGTCACCTGATGAACAAACAATGACTCAGTGTAGTACAGTGAGCCCACACTTGTTCTAATGAAATGCATGGTAAAACCTGAAATACATGACTGGGACTGGTGGAATTCATTTCCATGGGGCACAATATGTGGCACCATGTTAAAGTTTAACCATAAATTAAAATTATGTGATCATTTACTCAACCTCATATCGTTTCAAACCTGTATGACTTTATTTCTTTAGCTGCTAGCTGAACTTTACTCTAGATGAAAGACTGTGAGAATGGAGGAGGTAAGAGAACGAGAGAATGCATTACCTGGTCACAAATGAGTTCCCATTTCTTCTCATTGTCGTACTGCCGTAGTAATCTTGCTTTGTCTGGAGGCAAGTTCATTGAGTTCTGTGTAAAGACACAAAGAGAGAGTGAAGTTAGGTTAAACTCCTGCAACTTCCACAGCTATCAGACAAACAAGAGTGTCTCTATATGTTTACTGGAGTAATGACAAAAAAATAAAGAATGACTTATAGCAATGCACATCTCACAGATTCAACATTTAAGAAGTAAAGTGTGCTTTAAATGCAGTGCAGTGAAAAATTAGCTGAAGTTGAAGAATGTGTGTTTGTCTGACCCCTTAAAAATAAATTCACCCCATTTATAACAAACTCATAGTATTAGAAAAAATGACTGTGTGTAAATTGTGCAGGTTCAGCAGAAGAAGAGGAGACACATGGGGCTGTGTGTCTGCTTTGCCAGCATCTTCTTCCTCTACAGACAGCAGCGAGAGCTGCTCAACTCAAGAATTAATACTGTTATAAAACACTCCCATCAGTGTGGAAAGAAAAAGTCATCAGGGGGCGGATTCAGAAAAAAATCTTAAGAAAGAAGTTAAGAAAGTAAAAGCAAAAATTGACTGTTAGGAACTCGAAAGAATTTAAGAGCAATTCTTGAAAAACATTCTTAGGAGCATATTTTTAAAAAATGAATTGAATGACAGTAGACCTGAAACTGGTGCGTCAGAGAAAGGAGACATGCAAAATGTGCAGTGTTGGGGTGCCTCAAGGACCAGGGTTGGGAACCTCTGGTGTAATACAACAAACTCAATACTGAGAAATCTACATCCAAGTCATTTTTAAACCTTTATTTAAGTATCAAGCTTCACAATCATTCAAATGTAAAGGCTGCAAGATGTGTTAGTTTAACAACATTGGAAACTGGAAATCATTTGGTTCATGTGATATGAAGGAAAAGAAAAACTTCAATAGGCGAAAGCTGCACGTTCTCATTGAGGAAATTATTATTGCAGGGAAGACAATTCTCCTTGGGAGGCTGATTATATCAGGATGGAAAGTAGGAGGTGTACACATGGGAACAAGTGGCAGAGGCTGTTTCAGCTATGACAATGGATTATATAAGTACAACCCTGAATGCATAGAAATCCCTGTCCTACATTTCTACATTTCTTCTTCTTTTCAATAATCTGTTACACTTAGATAACAGACACAATACGTAAGAAAATATCTGTTGCTCCTTTTGTATAATCACGACACACTAATCAAGTCTTGTACTTCTTTCTTTTCATCTTTCATTTATTTACTTACTTACGTATTCATTTATTTATTGTCAAAAGCTAGAACTAGGATCTAGTATTTGAAAAAAAAAAAGTATACAAGATTTGGTCCTATGAACTCTTCACTTTTTTTTCACAGTCTCTATGAAGAAAACGAAAGGGATATATAGGCTAATTCCAGAACCAAGTCCTTTTTAAAAAGTACAGTAGGTGATGCTCTATAATCAGAGAAAATACATAACTTAATCAATCCAAGACAATTTTCACTACAGCAGTTTTACTAATGCGCTGTTGCTTAGTCTTTTTCAATAGGGAGTGACTTTGTGCTGGCCTGTGGAGATGTTTATGCTCAAACATACAGACCATCTGCACATGTGTGCGCTCAAACTCCAAACATGTGCTGAGATCAGGCCTCCACCTCTTACACAAGCACTGTCCTCTACGTCTGCCCTACTTTCACACATCTGCTGCATGGAACTCCCCCAAAATACTGCAGTCACCAGAGCCCCATCCGTACCCCACCCTTCAGAGTCAACTGTACACCACCCACCCCAACACAAACACATGACTCCCTCTCCAACCGTGTGCTGATGCGAAACTAATCCAGCGCTGTTAAATGACATCTTAATTTGGAAAAACCTGTGGTACGGGAGCCATACTGTTTATCTGTGTGCGTAGACGTGGGCTGCTCTTGTTGTTATTTCTCTGTAGGTTTCCAGAGCAGGGAGTCGCTTTAAAGTAGACGGCTATGTTGTGTTTTCCAGCCTCAACACAGCAGCTGTTGGCCAGAGGGAAACCCAACACTTAAAATCTGATCTATACGCACAAAAGCAAGCCATTGTAATGGTTCTGAACATTGTTTCAATAGCACTTTTTAATATGAAGACATTATCTCTGTTCTAAAACCTAAATTGAACTGCTTGACTATCAACTGCCTAGGCATCTGCCTACTAATGGAGCATCCTAACTGAAATCGAACCTCACAAGTGACTGATTTGAAACACTCTCTCTCTGCACCGAACACAGAGTACTCCACATGTGAAGCATGCAAGAGATTTAACTCATAACTCATTCCAATAGAGTTAGCCATTAGCATGTTGCTAAGCTAACAGTGCGATACATGCCACACACACATATACATTTCTATTAAATGCAGTTAGCTGAACTTTAGAGTACTTTTTGACCCACTTACATGTAAGTAGGACTTAAGGACATCATTATATGTAATTTTATAATTACTTATGTTGCCAGCCAAAGTGTACTGTTGAATGTACTAAATGCATTTAGGATAAATTAAAATGTACAGTTGTGTGTCATGCATTTTATTACATATTTGTAATGATGAAGTTGAACTCCATTACATTTAAAATATCATAACTTTAAATGTAGTATCAAATAACACACTTTACGATTTTTAATACTTAAAGTTCACTACAAGTGCACATTCAATACAATGAAGCACAAGTCTGTATATTAAATGCTACCCACTAAAAAACAAACTACAGACAGATTAAATGTTAAAATGAAGAGCAGAGAGAACAGAGAGGAGCTTCTCTTTCTCTCTGAACAGCAAAACACATCACTTCTGGTTCTGTGCTTGTGGACAGACATGCTGATGAAGGCTGTGTAATATGATATCGCTATGACAACAGAGAAACCTAAATCTAATCTGCAAGGCCATATGTCTGACAAATTAAATAAAGATCTGCAGACCGATATTTGATGGGCAAAGCCATATGCTGGACAAATACATGTGTTCGCAGAGCTGATCAACCATGCCAGTTCATGCCAAGTTCAAGTTTTACAAAACAACCCGCCCAACCTACACAGGAGTAACACCTTGATCTATCTTTAATGTTTCAGAGACACGCGATGTACGATTCACTAGAATTCCTGGTGAAACAACATATCCAGACAGGGCAGATTATTTGTTATATTTGATAGAGTTAATTATATTTCCAAATGTAGAAGCTTCTGAGGCCTGCAGATGGATAATTAGACAACCGCCCACAGCCCGCTCACTGACCGTCTGATGCATATTACACACCAAAACAAGAGCTGGGCTCAAACCACCAATTCCAGTCTTTCAGGAGGTATGTAGGTTTTTATATCTGTGAACTATTCTGCACTATTTATTAGGTTTAAGTGGATAGAAAATCTAATTACAAAGTCTGAACATATTTATTACAATTTTTTGTAACACTTTAATTTAGGGACAAATTCTTACTGTTAGCTAGTTGTTTACTAGCATGCATATTACTAGCATATTGGCTGTTTCTTAGTACTTATAAAGCACATATTAAAGGGCTCATGGGATGCCCATTTTCCACAAGTTGATATGATTCTTTAGGGTCTTAATGAAAAGTCTGTAGCATAGTTTGGTTAAAATTTCTCAATGGTAGTGTAAAACAACACAGTTTTTACCCTGTCAAAAACAGCTCTGTTCATAGCGAGCTGCTTCCTTGCATGCCACTTTAAATGCAAATGAGCTCTGCTGACCCCGCCCCTCTCTTCCGAGCCGCTCTCTGAGAAACGGTAAACTTTAGCCACATTCATCGTTAAACTCGCTAACTAGCACATTATTAGGAAATGCGATTTGCAAAGATTAATTAAAAAACCTTACACTCACTTCTTCTGGAGGTGAAGCTGGATCACGAATGATTCGCGTGAAGATAGACGCATTTATGTAGATTGGGGGCGCATTCCCTTCAGAAACAATGTAATCCTCTGCATCTTCAGCGGCTCTGATATCGGGAGTAAATGACGATTGCTATATTCATTATTACATCCAACAACAGAACACCTCAATCGCTTAGGAGTCATTCTTGTCTACAACTGCTCCGGCGGTGAAACAATAGGCCGTTATTGTCTTCCATTACCCTTCAAATTGTGCAAATTGAAAATACGCCTAATGGACAGGGCCGCATTAAGACCTCACTGGGCCCCGGGGCTATGACTTACTGCAGGGCCCCCCATCACAATAATGATATATATAGCTTAAAATAGGATTTTTATCCAATCAAAATTTTTTATGCATTGCAATTTCATAATTCTTGTTACCAATTCCAATATCTCAAAAAAAATTAAAATAAAACAAACTTACCGAAGACAAGTAAACAGTCATGAATTTCAATAGAACAAAGAAATTGACCTACAAACACTAGATCGGGGGCGCATTCCCTTCAGAAACAATGTAATCCACTGCGTCTTCAGCGGCTCAAATGTCGGGAGTAAATGATGACTGTTATGTTCATTATTACATCCAACAACAGAACACCTCAATCGCTTAGGAGTCATTCTTGTCTACAACTGCTCCGGCGGTGAAACAATAGGCCGTTATTGTCTTCCATTACCCTTCAAATTGTGCAAATTGAAAATACGCCTAATGGACAGGGCCGCATTAAGACCTCACTGGGCCCCGGGGCTATATATATAAGTTATTAAAGTGGAAATCAGTTTACTAAATAATGTAAACTTGACTGACTGCTTCACTTCCACTTTAAGGTCAATTTTGATTTCATGTTGGCTCATACCAGGTGTAAAAACTGCCAAAAAGACACAAAGAAAGGATGTTTTGAGAAGAAATACACTGAAATCAGTGCCATTCATCAGGCCTCTTTTCTCTTTTTTATGTCTTGGTAACACAGCACTGTGAAAAGGTGTTTGGGGCTGAGAATAACCATAGCAGATATTTCTGACTCTGGCACGCCAGCACCTCTTTGTTCCCTTTCTCTCCCTGATCCCTGAAAAAAACAACAACACAGACGTGCGACGCACAGCACAATTTACACATCCACATCAGTGCACACAGCAGGGGCAAACACTGGCACAC